TGGAGAAAGGGGGAAGCTAGTGGTGGCTGCTCCAGCAAAAGGGGACTTTGTTTCTGGGGCTAACCATTACAGGCCCAGGTGGAGGGGTCTTGGGACGTGGTGTAAACCCCACAGTGCCTCGACTACCTGAGTCCTCTGTAGAACTAGAAGTACTTCCAGAATGATGGAGTTCCAAAGGGAGTTGGGAATCCCCAGGAGGGGGTCACCCCCCTGTAGCTGAATGTAGAACAAAGTGGTTGGGTCTCATTTGCCTGAAGCCCAGATTATGCTTGGAACATGATAAATGAACACAACTTTCTTACGGTATTGGGGGGCAGCTTCCCAGGTCTTGCTAATCATCACACCTCTTGGTCAAGAACAGTATTGCTTCTCCAAAAAGTGACTTGCAGGTTCGGAATTTGTTTGAAATCAACTTTACTGAGATACAATTTACGAACCATAAAGGACACCCTTTTTTTGTTATAATTTATGAACCATAAAGGACACCCTTTTTTTGTTCGTTTCTTTTTAAGACATTGCTCTTCCCCCCACATAGGCTAAAGTAACATGGACACATACCAATGGCACAACACTGGAGTGACTGCAAATGCCAGCCAGCTCACAGTTCATGCAGTACACATAAGCTGCTGTTGTACCTGTGTGTGAGGCAGAGCTGAATGAAGAGACAACCCTGACTGATCTGCCTCCGCGAAAGGAAAAACAGTTCCGTGCATCAGCGAAATATCTACCAGGAAATTGGAATGTGTCTACTCAGTCAAGTCCAAGTCGCTCAAAAACAGTCTTTTAGTTAATAAGCATATTAGCTGAGTTAGCAGGTATACTTACAGCTAATCCTTTTATCATATACATGGGTTACTCTTTTTTTTTTGGAGCGGTTTTTGGTATAGGGTGCACACACTCGCCAGACCACAGAGAGACAGACCGAAAGAGAGAAATCACCCCTCAGGGGGGATGGTCACGCCGCAATCCCTTCTCCTCCATTCTCCTCTCGGGATCTTGGGCACACACGCACACGCGCCCAGCGTGAGTTTAGGCCACCGGGTCCGGGACGCGAACCGCAGTCGACTACATGGGAGTCCAGCAACATAGCCATTATGCTAACTGCTGGTCCCTGGGTTATCCATTTCTAATACCCTAAACTATGCTATTGAGTATTAAAATCATGCAAAGATTTCATCTCAGTTGGCTAATACAAGGCCATCAAAATGAATCATCATTGTACACTATCTAGGGTTTTTGTTTTTTCGAAAGTTGTCAGCTATTATTATTTTTTAAATAATTATTTTATTATGTATTTATTTATCTATTTATTATTTTTTCACATGAGTTTTCCCAGAGAAAGACAAAGAGAGACAGAGAGAGAGAGAGAAAGAGAGAGAAAGGAAGCTACCAGGTCCAGGACTTGAACTGGGTTGGCCATGTGGGAATTTGAGTGCCTTTACCACCACGCCACCTGCTGGCCCGTATCTTAGGTTTTTGATCCTCTGATGTCTACGTAGTCTGCCAGACCATCCTCTTCTGTATCTGGAGCTAATGCCCCTGGTAATCTTTTTTGTATGCGTCTCGAAAACCTTATCACTGAGTGCTATGGTTCATGTGTCTCTCCAAAATTCATGTGTTAATTTGGTTATGAGAGGGTTAAGAGGGTGAACATTTAATCAGACTTTGTGTTAAATGTGGGGCCTTTTGGAAGAGACTCGGATTAAGGTAATTAGGGTGGGGCCCCAGGATTGACTCCTAGTGGGTTTATTTTTTATTTTGTTTATTTATTTTTGAGAGGTTTTTGCTATAGGGTGCGTGTGCTCACCGGAGAGATAG